GCCACCAGGGAAACCTGGGGAGGGCTAGCCTCCCACTAGTTCGAATTAAGGGGCTACACACCCCTTAATTCGAACTAGTAAGTTCGAATTAGGCTTAATCCTCGTAAAATGAGGTTTTCCTAGTTCGAACTAAGCGCTCCGCTAGTTCGATTCAAATTCGAACTAACGGAGCGCTAGTGTAGCGGCTATGAATGTTAGTTCGAACTAACGTCCGTTAGTTCGAACTAACTTTGTAGTGTAGACATATCCTCACAGTTTTAAATATCAATACTATTTGGATGAATAGCTGAGCACGATAATTTCACTCACTTCCAAGACTGGCTGAGATCAGTCAGTGAATTAAAGGCAGCTGACTGATGCCATAGCTGAACAAGACGATGGTGATGCCAGAAGGGAGAGGGAAACATTTTACAGAGACAATCACTGCCATGTTGTCTCATATCAATAAGGGAGTCTGTCTTCAGTCAAGCTGGTTCACTGACTGGAAGTTGCTTTCAAACTCCTCGCTGTTTCTGGCTGCTGAAACAGCTACTGCTGCCAAAAAATGCCTTCTTTTCTCATGAGGTAAATAGCAAGAGACTGTGTCCCTTACTGACTTGGTCACTATGACTTTTGTCACTCTCCAGGCTGGAAAATAGGAACTCACTGTGCTTGGAATGATTGTGCCTGCCATAAAACACTTCAGCTGGTCCAATATGTGGCAAGCCACCTCATAAATGAAACTGGCTATTGAGAACAAATGCCCCATTCATAATATTGACTCCCCAGAAAAGAGGGTTAATAAGGATTACTGTGGCTGTCTCTGATATTATTTTGCTGACCACTTGAGGGAGAGGTGGGATTGGAGGAAAGGCACAGAGAAGTGGTGTGTTCCATTGTATTGTGAACGCATCCCCCAGAGACTGCGTGTCAATGGCCACATAGGAACAGTATTGTGGACACTTCTTGTTGCGCATCCCCAAGAGACTGCGTGTCAATGTCCACATAGGAACAGTATTGTGGACACTACTTGTTGGCATTGGTTGCAAACAAATTCACTGTGGGTAACCCCGCACTGGTGAACAATTGATGGGAGGATCCTGCAGTCCATTTCCTAT